ATGACTTTGCACTGATTCAGTTCAGTGGAATCCAGAGAAAACTGGTTTTGAAGATTCAGAAAACCGATCAAGCATCCATGCATAGCCAAACTTGCTGACAACTTATGTCTATGTAAATTTTAAAGCCAAAGGAAAAATACAGAAAAATGAACCAATAAGGGGAGGGTATTTAAGTTTTGAATAGATTTTATTTTTTAGCGCAGTTTTAGGTTTGCAACAATTTGAACAGAAGGTACGTGGTTGCTGTTTGAACATTCCGTGCCTTGTTTTCCAGTGTCCGTATTAGTCAGCTTGCTTTTCTCCCCTCTGCTCTCGATCACAACTCCCCTCGGTTACTGGCTTGTTTTCCCATCCCCTCTCTAGTACCTTAAGATGGATAGAGCACAAAAAAGAGAGCCGCATCCATTTAGTTTCTCTTCTTATCACAAAATCATATCTTATGTAAGTCTGTAAAAGCAAGGACATAAGGTCAAAATTTTTTGTATACTCAAATTTTTCTTACAAATTGCTTAAATGACCAATTCTAAAAACCTGAGATAAACAGAGTGGTTGGGTTTTTCGTTTGATTGATTTTTTTTCCCTCCAATGTTGAAAGAGATATAGATTTGGGGGCTGGAGAGATGGCTCAGTGGTTAAGAGCATTGCCTGCTCTTCCAAAGGTCCTGAGTTCAATTCCCAGCAACCACATGGTGGCTCACAATCATCTGTAATGAGGTCTGGTGCCCTCTTCTGGCCTGCAGACATACTCACAGACAGAATATTGTGTACATAATAAATAAATAAACATTTTTTAAAAAGAGATACAGATTTATTCGACTGACTACTGGATAAAATAATAGGTTTGCATTACGGAGCAGGTTAAGGAGGGGTGTGGTCATTTAAACACTAGACTCTGAGGAAGGAAGATGGCAAGTTCAAGGTTTTCCTGGACCACAGAGCACAGGTCAGCGTGAAAAACCTATCCAGATTCTATATCAAAAGTAAAATAAAATAAATAAATGAAGGTCTGGGGGCAGAGGTCAGTGGTAGAGCACTGGCTCAGCCTGCATGCAGGACCCTAGGCTCAATCCACAGCACTGGAAAGAAGAACCAAATCCAGCCTCATTCTTCATGCCGAGACCAAGACCAGGTATCCAATTTGGGGGTTCAGTGCAAAATGAAAACGCAGGAACCCCTACTTCAGAAAGTACCAGGAATATCAAGATGGCAGCAGTAGGACATTAAACCAAGTGGGTGGTGGTAGTGATGGGGGTTAGTCTTCAAGAATAGAGAGCCTTGTGCAGGTGCACACATAGCAGCCTCGAGAACCTGAGAAAAACAAGAGGCTTCGAGATCAGACAAACCCAGGAAGAGAAGCCTCACAACAGCCACAGAGGAGAACGGGGCTAATCTTCACTCTTTGGATTTCCTATCCCTTCTCCTGCTCCCGCCCTCACCAGCTCTGAGTGTATTACAGCTGAATTGAGGTCCCATGCAATTAATCCAAGATGCAATTCCATCAGCAAATTGGTTGAGAGAGTTGCAGGTCTCTATTACAATGATGATTTTTTTTTTATTTTCTGGGGTTTTTTTTCCCTTCAGGAATGCTTTGTAACTTAGAACTCAGATTTCAGGGATTCAGGATTTAGCTAGTAGTTTGTTCATGACTTCTGGCCCCTAGCAGCATTAGGAGGAAAAAACTCACATAAAGGACCCCACACAGCCACCACAAAGGGGGCAGGGACTAAAGCTTTTCAGAGGTGTAAAAAAGGAAGTGTGTGCATGCATGCAAAAATTCTGATCTTCTCTTAGATGATGCTTCTGTTTGTTTTGCATTTCTAAAACAAAATGTTCTTTGAGGGCAAACAAAGTTATTAGCATGAGTCTTCCTAATGGTTCAAAGCAGGTAATTTACAAATATTAGGTTCAAAGCTGGGTGTAATGGCACATGCTTGTAAACAGAGCACTCCAGAGACTGAGGCAGAAGAATCAGAAGTGTGTGGCCAGCCCAGGATACACTGAGAGGCCCCGTCACAAATAGATAAAAGCACATACAAAATTAGATGCAATAATAAGATTTCTTCCAGTAAAGTCTTAATTATTTTACTTTCTAAAATGGTTTCCTTTTTCAGATATTTGTCCCGAGAAAGTCATGAACATAACCTCAGCAGTGAGAACTGTATGGCTTTGACCTATAAGGCAAGGATGTGATACAAAGCTTTTGGGGGGAAGACAGGTGTGCGTGTGTGTGTGTGTGTGTGTGTGTGTGTGTGTGTGTGTGTGTGTAAGACAACTGCCTTCTATTTAACAGCACACCCCAGACAAACAGCAATCGTTCAGAAACTCTCCAATGGACTTGTGAATAACAAGTTTTTTAAACTAAAGCAATGAAAGATGTGTCTCCTGTATCCTTTCTCTTCCTGGTTGGCTCCTGATGTGAGACTCTGCCCTGTGCCATGCACCTCAAGGTTCTCATCCTGCAACACGGCAACAGGCTGAAACCTGACTCATCTGTGTTGATGAAAATTGTTCCCTTGTGTCTGTGAGTTACATGTCTGAGCTTTAAACGAGTGTCAAAACCAGTTGGTCACCCAGGTAACTGAACAACTGTGCTGACTCATGCTCACCTGGCCCCAGCAGGTTAATAATACAAAGCATGCAAGCACACACTGTGTCACGTGTCCCTGTCACAGCTTACCAGGAATTGAGAGATATTTTGGTTAATCTTTTTGCTGTGGCGTTTTTACGGCAGCTGTGTGGTGGTGGTGATTTGGCAAGCCTTGAGACTAGAGGCTGCCATCTGCTTATTCCAACAAGTGATATAAATATGAACGGCAGGGTCATAGGAAAACTCTGGGTACCAACAGCATTTTCTCTCCAATCTCTTGATCTGTATCAGGTTGTATATGATTATTTTTTATTCATGTGTATGGCTGTGTGTGAAGGTGTATGTGTGTGTGAAGGTGCTTGAGGAGTCTAGAAGAGATCATTGCTCCCCTTAGAGCTAGTTACAGGTGTGTGGGGGCCAACCAGTGTGAAGAGTCAAACTACCTGTGGTCCTCATGATAGAGCAGCAAGGGCTCTTACCAGCCATGGCTCCAGCCTCAGGTTGTCTATTTTAGAGAGTGACAGATACAAATTTATACGAATTCCTAGGTAGGTTTGTTCAGAATGATTTGCCAACCAGTTTCAGGAGCTAACACTGAGTTTCCCCTGTGTAGACTGACACTGAGTTTCCCCTGTGTGGACTGACACCGAGTTTCCCCTGTGTAGACTGCTGTAGGTCCTCCATTCTCACACTGACTCAGTGAAGCTGAACCATTGCTGTCCCACCGAACAAGATCTCCCAGAGAGGTAAATGCTAAGGACTAGGTTTTGATGTGAGATTCACCTCTGTATGCTGTGAATACCATTGGTTAATAAAGAAGCTGTTTTGGGCCTGTGATAGGGTAGAGCAGAGCTGGGGGGGGGACTAAACTGAATGCTGGGAGAAAGGCGGTGGAGTCAGGAGAAGCCATGTAGCCCCCCCCCCCCATTCATATGCCAGATGGAACTTGACCTGGTAAGCCACAGCCACTTGGCAATACACAGATTAATAGAAATGGGTTAGTTTAGGATATGAGTTAGCCAGAAATACGCTTTAGCTATTGGCCAAACAGTGTTGCAAATATGGTTTCTGTGTGATTATTTCGGGAGTGCGGGCGACTGGGAAAGGAACAAGCAGCCTTCTACTACAGGGTTTGAACTTAAGACCAGCCCGTTAAGCTGTGCTGAAGTACAGCTGTGTCTTGCTTTAAAATATTGTCTGCTTTTGATTTTCTTCTTTCTAGTCCTAAACAGAAATATTTTGACCTGTATAAAAATTATTTATTGACATGAATACCGATTTATTTATTTATTTATTCGGTTTTTCGGTACAGGATTTCTCTGAGTAGCTTTGGTACCTGTCCTGGAACTCTTTAGAGCAGACTGGCTTTGAACTCACAAAGATCCGCCTGCCTCTGCCTTCTGAGTGCTGCGATTACAGGCGTGGGCCACCATCGCCTGGTTCGACTTATTTATTTTTATGAAAACCACAAGTTATACCGATCTTCACCTTTGTTTTGAGGGGAAGACGGTTTCTTTACTTCCCGAAGCAAACTCACCAGAAGTTATGCTTAGCAAACCTGACCACACAGAGCCCCTCCCAGCGCTTATTTACGGTAACCCTGGTCGAAACTTGTCGCGAAGATAAGCGCTGCCAAAAAAAAAAAAAAAAAAAAAAAAAAAAAAAAAACCAACCTCTCACTTAGAAGTAAAACACCTTATCTTTGCACACACTTGCGAAGCCTTCAGAGAACTTGGGTAGGTGTGGCTTCCAGAAGCCAATCATTTGATTCAAGGGGCAAATCAGGACCCGTGTTTACAAGAAAAAAGTAGGCGCCCGGGGGATGACCCGACTGGTCGCTGAAGTGCGTGGGACAGTCAGTTTGGGACGCTATGGCTCGCTTGACCCTGGGTGTGTGGACAGGGTGAAGGTGAGCATCCAGTCTTCACAGCATAACAGCGAGCGGGCGCTAAAAGTTTGCCCGCTCGGTTGGAGTTAACAACATCATCCCCGCAGGTGAACTAAAGACACAGCCTTTGGGAGCGCCACCCGAGCCCAAGCCCTGCCCTTAGACCGTCAGGCCCCGCCTCCCGACGCTTTAGGTCCCGCCCCATCCCAGGCGATCTCGGCTATTGGCTGCCCCAGTTCCGTGTACCCTCCTCTCCCCGCCCCCGGCAGGACTGAACCGTGCCATCAGTGATCTTGGGGGAATCTGTCTTCTCCCGTCCAAACGGCTTTCAATCCGAGCCGTCCTCGGCCTTCACGATGGAAACCTGATGAAATATAATATTTTATAGACACACTCTGTGAGAGATCAGGCATCTCATCTAGAACTGCTCCGGATCCCCGAGTCGCGGGGCCGTCGTTACCCCTCCAGTTCCTTCACGGATGGTCTCGCCCAGAGAGCACCTCGGGACCCTTTAAATACCGCGTGGGGCTGAGGGAGAGGGCTCCAGAGTTGACGGCTGGTGAGTCTCTCCGTATATGTGTGTGTGAGAGGGGACACGAGCCCCGCGACCCCGGCCACCCAGCCTTCCTCGACTGTCTGCGCGGGATCCGGGGGTGCGTACCCATCCCAGGGGAGGGGCCGTGGGATCTGTGGGGACTGCCTCTCCTCAGGGCAGCGGGAGGGCTCCAAGGTCGGGGCATTTGCGCCCCCCGAGTCGGGGTCTGAAGTGGGGCCGCAGTGGCGGTGGTGCCCAGGCTGCGCCAGGTCCCCTGGGGCCGTGATGACAACCCTTTGGGTGCGTGCCAGCGACGGCGCTGAGGGCGCGAGACGCTCCGGGCACCCAGTGATGCCGTCCCCGCTGTCCCCAATCCCGGAGAGTGGGGCTGAGCCGCGGTGGAGCCCAGCCGGGCCGGACCTCGGCCTGTGTTTGGGGCTTGTTGCCGGGTTTCTCAGTCGCTGGGCTCTGCCCTGACAGTCCCCTCCCCCAAGCGTTTGTTTTGACAGGAAACGTGGTGCTGCTGGAGGGAGGGGCGAGCGGGGAACGTGGGCAAGCGGGCGGGACTCCGGAGACTTCCGTTGGACTTGACCGGCCAGGAGGCTAGCTCGGGTCACATCTGGGTCAGACCCTTGCTGTCTCGAGGATGGCTTTGTGCTCAGGGTGGCACCACAAAACATAGCAGCGAGATGTGTTGGCACGTGGCTGACACAGTTCCGTGTTTACGTTAGTAAGGGAGGCAGAGCTTCCTCTAAGCGAGCCATTTCGCAATGACATGATGTTTTCTTTTAAAATGCGTGTGTTAGACTGGGAATGTAGTTTTCTGGTAGAGCATTTTCCTGGCATATACAGAACTGTGGGTTCTGTACCCACCCCTAACCACAAGAAGCCCAAATCATGTGTTTTAAGGCAAAAAGCTAGTCAACAAAGCAGTGTTTGTTAAACTACCAGACAGGCAGAGGAGTGGAAATACTTAAGAGTGGTTCCCATGTGACTGAAGTGAAATCTACTCTTTCATCGTTGTTTTGGTACCGTAACGTGAGGAAATCAGGCAACTTGTCCTTGTTCCTAGTGAGCCCTCAGCACTTAGGGTGTCCCTTTCTACCTGCCTGCTCCTGCTGAGGTTCTTATGCTTGTTCGTGACTCCACCTCCAAAATAGCCCACTAAATGATAACCCCCTCCCCAGAGAGGCTCAAGGCCACTCCCACAGGCTATTTAAACTGTCCCCCAGAGAACAAACTCACGGTTTTCTCACATTGAGAACGTTAGTATCTATTATCTTGGGCCTTTTCTAATTTGGTTTGATTTTGTCTGATTATTTGGATTATTGCATAGGCGGAGAGGCTTATTGGGCCTTAAAACCTTTTAACCTGAGCTGGGAGGCTCCCTGTCTACCTGCCTTTTCTTCCTGTCTCCATGGTTTCCATAACTTGCCCCACTTGCCGTGACCCAGGGCTGAAGACCCAGCCATCTGTACTGGCAGCTAAGATGAGGTTCCCTGGAGTGTGAAGGACCAATCAGGAATGGGAGGAGAACGCTTTCCAGGATGAAAAGTGCCCAGAAATCTTCCCTGATGCTGTAACACCGGAGCATCGGCACTGCCTTTTAGACAGTGGCTGCCTGGCTTGTTGGCTTTTGTCAAGCTCTCTGTTGGCTCTGATTTGAAGGGGAGCAGTATTGTTGCAGGGACTTTCCCTCAGTCCTATGGCTTTTGCTTTGCTCCAGGCTGGTGCTATAAGGTAGCATTTGGTAGAAGATGCAAATTTGCTAACATCTGCAATGCTTTTCTTCCATCAGAGCTCAGTCTTGCCCTTGCTCCCCACAATGCCCCCCATCCTTTCGGTGACTTGTGCCTCATTTTGATATGGTCTTGAAGGAGGGAGGGTACCCACTAAATGTCTCTTGACATCATTCTTTTTCTACAATCTAGCCTGAACCGTGTGGGTTTCATTCTTCAGGGCCCTTCCCTGTTGGATAACCTGAACAATTTACTTGAAGATGTTTTTGACTTGGCTCGCTATAAGCAGTTAGCCCTTTGGGTGATACCTGGCGTTTAGCAAGGGATTTTGCAGTGCATAAGGAATGGTGCTCTAATCAAGGATTTTTATCACTGTAGTGGGGTGGTTGAATGATCTTTTGCAGTGATGTCCTTCATGGTACTGTGCTTGAACAGCCACCCCAGGGTAAGGTCATCTTGCTTCCACATGTGCAAGTGTCTGTGTGATGATAGACGGATCGATTTGGCAGGCGTGGAGTGGAAAGAATGAGCAGTACCCTGATTTCCTCCAGCCGCCCTGGAGCAGTAGGCTCTGGGGTTCCAGCCTGCTGCTGGCTTGAGCTGAGCCTCTGCATTGCTGTAAACCTCTGGGCTGTCTCTCCGACCCGCACGTTCTCATTTTAAACAAGAGTTTCACCCACTCAAAACAGTTATGATGCAGATTTGAGAAAATCAATTAGAGAATTATTGAGATCATGATAAGCTTCTATAACTGTTGGTTCTAATTGTTACATTTTAGTATTGATGAGTGTCCAGAGTGCAGTGGTACAATGTGCATGTTCTTTAAGCTTCTAGGCCCTGCTAGTCTTCGAACTGTGTTGAAATAGGCACTGGAAACTGGAGAAGGGACTACTTCCTTTCCTACATGCATTTTAAAAGTCATTTGGAAGGCAGAAATGCAGATGGCTAAACAACAGTGTTAAGTGACTGCTTAATGAGCAATGTGATCCAGGCAGGACAGATTGAAAACTCTAGTTGTTTTATGAATAGACACGGGGCCAAGTTTGTTCATGTATGCCTGCAGGCCAGAAGAGGGCACCAGATCTCATTATATATGCTTGTGAGCCAACTTGCGGTTGCTGAGAATTGAACTCAGGTCCTCTGGAAGAGCAGCCAGTGCTCTTAACCTCTGAGCCATCTCTCCAGCCCCATTAGACAACTTTCTAATTGTTCTTATTTCTTTAGCAAAATGCCCTTGGCCACTTTGGTTTTGTTCTAGAGATGTCTTTTCGTACTTCACATGTCCAAGAATATGAATTTGTAAAACCTTTCAATTGTGTTTTTCTTTTCTCTCACATCTTGTATGTGGTTAAAAGTAGCCACATCCATCCTTCAGTAGTTTGCTTGGAAACATCTTCCCTTAAATACCCTAGTCTATAACTCATACACACCTTCCATAAAGCCCTTAGACATAGGCAAAATATGCCAAATTCTTGCTACCATGTGACAGGGTTTTATTTACTCCTGTTTCTAATATTGCCCTTTATTTCCGTTTGAGACATCCTCAGAGTTGCCTTTACTGTCCCCATTTCTAATGTCCTATTTCATAACAAATGAAGTAATCTTAGAACATTTACGCTTCCCTGAAGCCTTAGCCGCCGTCTGAGTTTCCCCATAGTTGTTCTTCACGTTCCTTCACAGCAGTCTAAATGGTTTCTAGTCGCATCCTTCCCATTCTGCCTGGGAGTTGCTTTGGTGACCAGCGAGGTGGATCTAAGTTTGTCAGTATGAAAAGTTTTGTGCTTCTTTAAAACAAACGACTTTATTATCATCAGTCTAAGAGAATATGAAATAGTTGAGGCAGTCTAGTTACTGTCGATGCTTTTTCAGTCTGGTTGGTTTGTCCCCAGCTGACTCGTGAAAACTCGAGGTGAAGGAAGCTGCACATTGGTGTGAAGGCACCCGCAGAAGACTTTTGACGCTGGAACAGGCCATTCGATTTGGGGTTTTATATTTCAGAGAAGCATATGAGTTCTGTGCTAGGGTCACTCCAACCATTTTTTTTTTTTTGTAGGGAAAGCGTAATTTTGTTATTCTGAGGTAAAAATAGTTTCCTGTTTTAATGAAAAGGCGATTTGACAAACAGAAGCATAGAATCCCCTGTATCCTGTTGTGTCTTTGTCAGACACTGTCCCTAGCACCCTTTCCTTATACCTAGGTGCAATCTCACTCCAGCTCCACAAGTTAGGCTTGTGGGGTTTACCTATATAGGAAATAGGCATTTTCTAAACCAAGTAATGAGTGCCTTGCTTCAAAGACAAGCTTCTGCTTGGATACATGAGTTGTAACATGAAGAAACTAAAGTTCTAAAGAGTGTGATACTTTTCAATTTTCTGTTACAGCTGTGTGCTCAGATTCTGTCTCCAGTGACAGGCTGATGTAAAACTTAGTTGCCTACAATTAAACATGCTTGCTGTATGTTTGCTTTTTCAAAACATCTCATGATGTCTCATGGAACTCTGGTTCCATCTTAGCAATTTCTGACTGAAAGAATCTGTGTAATTAGCCCGCCTCACTGCTGCTCCCACCCCCACAAGAAACCAGCTGTGGATGAAGTCACACAGTAAACTGGTGACAGGCTGGGTTCTAGCTCCTAACCTAGTGCTTCTTATTTTTCAAGTCTTGCACCTGACTTTCTTGTTCATATAACTAAGAAACCTACCAAATGTGCTGTCCAACTGGAATATAGAATAAAATGAACCCGGTCATAAATTCCCATGGACGAAAGCTTCTCTTCACTCTTACTTGGAAAAAATAGCCTGTTGGTGTAAGGCTGCTGCAGTAGAGGAAGAGCAAGAGCCAGCCTAAGAGTGACAAGATCTGGGGATCTGGATTGAAATAGAATAAGCTGGCATAGATGGTGACGCCTCTGCTCTAGGGCCTGCGCTTGGCAGCAGCGGGCATGCGAATGTGTGGGGCTGTCAGTTTACAGATGTCCTGGTTGAAGCCGTACCAAACAGGATTCAGTGGCAGTGATTTAGCTGACGCCGAAGATGTGTCGTGAACTTGGTGCTAGTGAGGCGCTGTGTCTCCCTTACCAAGGAGATTCAGAAATAGTTCCCTGCATGAGAATAACTGCAGATGCTTTTTCTGTGAGGTGAGCATGTTGGAACCCTGCTTCACCGCCCCACTCTAGGTCCTTGAGACTGGGTCTCCCACTGCACCTGGAGCTAGGTTGGAGGACAGCAAGTCCCTCCCCACAGCCGTGGGATTACAGGTGCATGCAACTATGCCTAGGTTTTGAATGTGGGCTGTGGGGACTTGAATCCAGCACAAGCGAATGCTTGTACTCCCTGAACCATCATCTCCTTATTCCGGTTCAATTCCTTCTGTGAAGGTGAAGGAGATGCTCCACAGACCTGCTGAGCAGAGTACCCTGAGCTGTGGTGGGGGATGAGGGAGGCTTCCCTGGGAACGGAGCATTTTCAAGCAATGCCAGCAACGGGGAGTGAAGTGTTGGCAGAGAATGACAGCAGCCCATTTTCTCCTGTCCCTAGGTATTTGGTAAGGTGTGTCAGGTGCATTGTAAATTGTTAAGTACAAACCAGATATTAGGTCTTGGTCTTCATGCTGTGACATGAAGATGGAGGAAAGACCTGGCAGTTCAGAAAGCCTCATCCGTCTTCCCTTCCCTTGAGAGGCTCACAGAGGCACCTCGAGGTTGTTTGGACATCCTTTTATTTTTTTTAAGTTGCATTCTTTAAATGTATCCTGTGTACATGTATAGGTATGTTCATGCTGCCAGCACTTGTGAAGGTCAGGGGGCAGTTTGTGGAAACTGGTTCTCTCCTGGCATGTGGGTTGCAGGGATTGAGCTCAGGTCATCGGGCTTGGCAGCAAGTGCCCTTACCCACCAAACCAGCTAAATGTATTTGATTTAAAACAAAGCAGTAAGAACAGTAACTCTATATGAGCGCTGTGCAAAGAAGCCTGAGATGCAGCTAATCCTCTTCAGTCTTTGCAAAGCCCTGGAAGTTCAGTCTTTGAGGTCAGTTTCCCCCATGGAGTCAGGCGGTTAAGTGACTTCCCCAGAACGGAACAAGGAGTCTGCCGAGGAGCCTCTCAGAGCCTTCCACACCAACCCAGGGGAGCTCATCCGTGCTCTGTGTGGGTTTTAAGAGGGTCTGTCATCACTTAAACCTGCTCCATGTTTGCACTGGATTTGGCCTTGAAACCCCTGTTGTGGAAGGAAGTCTTGATGATCTTGCAACAGTCTTGGTCAGGGTGCTGGGGTAAAGAAATTTCTTGGACTTTTCTCCCTATGCTGTCACACCTCTGGGCATTATATTACCTATGCTGGAAAAAGCATGTTGGAAGCCATATTGATTTAGGGTCTCTCTGTCTGTGCAGGTTCTCTCTCTTGCGCACCCCCACACCCTCCCCCCCAATCTCTCTCTCTCTGTCCCTGTCTGTCTCTGTATCTCTCTCTGTCTCTCTGTCTCTGCCTCTCTTTCTCTGTCTCTCTCTCCCTCCCTCCCTCCCTCTCTCTCTCTTCCACTTTTCTCCCCCTCCATCCCCAAGGTGATACAAGATGCCTCTGAATGATGAGAAGCAGTGTGTGAACGAGCAGAGTGATGTAGAGTCTTCCCCGTTCTCCGAAAGCATGGCTTCGCTCAGTGACTTTGAGTGTTCCAGGCAGAGCTTCACCAGTGATTTCTCCAGCAAATCCAGTTCTCCTGACTGTGAGTAACAGGGAGCAAGGAGGTGGGGGTGGGGTGGGGTGGGGTGGGGTGGTGGTGCTGGTATTGCATGGTGGCTTTGAAAACTCACAAATGTGAGCAAATCACACTCTATCCTCCTTTCTCGATGCACCAGAACAGTTGTCAGAGGCACTGGAGCAATCCTCGTGTGTTCTTAGGGATAAGTTTGTAGCCTGCCCATTTTATTGTGAGCCTTGTCTCTAACCTGTTTGGTTTGAGCAGATGTCTAAAACCCTTACCCCCAACCCTGTCTGCTTGTCTCCCAAATGGTGGCAACACCCCTTCTTGAGATTATCTTGTGCAGATTATGATGAAGTCAAATTAGTCTTTTCTTTTTCACATTGAAGGAAATTTGCCTTTCCGGAAGGGTAGACAGGAAGTGAAATGATCTAAGGAGGGTTTCCCTGCTGATTTCAAACACTGTTGTGCAAATTCCCCCAGACCAGCCCACGGGAAGACTTTCTACTCTGCTGGTTGTCAGAGACCCACAGCTGTCACTAGGAAGACAGCGTCCCTTTGTTTTTGTCTGTGGACACGGGGTGTGTCAACTGGGGTTTTTTCCCCCCTTCCTCTTACCTTCCACAAGATTTCACTCTGTAGTTCAGGCTGGCTTTGAACTTGTGACTGTTTCCTCCGCAGCCTCAAGGGCTACAGTTGTGGTATGAACCACTACTTGGCTTTGCCTTTTGTTTTTTTAAATTTTGACTTATCATTTTGTCTAGAAAGTACATAATCTCTTAAACTAGCAAAGCTAAAGTAGGAAAAAAAACAACAGATGGTCAATAAGATCAGATGTTCACTCCAAAAGAACGTTTTGTTTATTTAAATTTTTATATTTCCCATTTTAAAACTTGGAAAATCTATAGTCTAGAGAAAAGACATGACAGGCAGCTGCCAGCACTTTGCCAGACCATCATCCTTCTCGCTGATGTGGCCTCACCCTTGGCATTGTAACCAGAATACATACGTGCTCATGACAGACTGCTTCCTAAGCACTGTCCTCATGACCACCTACCGTGTCATAAAGTAAATAGGCATTTATCCGTATATATTGATTTGTCATTGGACAGTCATTTTCCATCTTGTTTTGCTCTTTTATAAATGGGGTTTTATGAGCATCCTGATGCACTGAGACTTCCTGAATATCACTGGACCACAGATGTTTTTAAGGGAGAATCTTGAGGTAGAGAATACACAGCAGCCATGCACTTCTGCATCTTTTTCTCTTCCTTGAGACCATGTCCAGCATCTCTACATCTGATATCATGGTACCCAGGCATTCTGAAGAAAGATTTTGTCAATTCCTAGGCATCATCTTTCTTTCTCATCCTCCTCCCCCTAAGTACTTTCTCTCTCAGCCTCCTCTAAAACAACAAATAGGAACAAGTTTTGCCCATTTGTGCCTTTTTTGAAGTCATGGTTTTTAATTAACCAAAGCTGAGATTTTCCGGCAGTGATTTTGTAAACTTCAAATATTAGAACAATTTTTTAGTATAATATCTAGAAATAACTCTAATTCTTTACTGTTTTCCTACTGAGTAGATAATCCAACCTCTCAAATTTATTTTGTTACGTTTTAATTATATATTGAGTTCCTCCTATGTTCTTTACTTGCTCAGCGGTGATGGTGGCACACACCTCCAATTCCAGCACTTGGGAGGCAGAGGCAGGTGGATCTGAGCTCAAGGCCAGCCTGGTTTATAGAGTTCCAGGACAGCCAGGGCTACACAGAGAAATCCTGTCTTGAAAAAACCAAAAAGAAAAGAGGTTAAATTGTCTTAACACCTCAAAGAGAGCCTGTTAAGGGGGTAATACATGTATCAGTGAACTCAAATGAACTAACACTGAACTGCTATACAGTTAGAAAGGATACAACCTTATCAGTCTGTTGTTTAATACATGTAAACACATATGTGAATAAACATGGAAAAGAAACTGATTTAAGTTTTTAAACATTATAATAGGCCTATATTAAGGAGTTTGTGTTAGGAACATTGAAAATTTATTATAAATATGGAAGCTGAAGCTACAGAAGGAGTGCTTAAATATTTGAAACCTTCGCCAAGCCCACCTTTCGTTAGTGTGTGTTCTCTAACTTATAAAGCCACGATATTTACGAGAACCAGCCTGCCTTGACACTGGGGGACATTGGATGTCAGCTTCTCTCCTACTGTATCAGCTGACTTGGTTTTTCTCTCAGCAACAAGTCCTCCCAGCGGCATCATGTTTGACGACGTGATGGCTGCGGCCAAGAGCTTATCAGACATGACTCTCGCTCACGAAATAGCTGTCAATGAGAACTTCCAGTTGAAGCAAAATGCCCTCCCTGAGAACAGGTAACCTGGAAGTCTGTGCGCGTGTATAAGTGATGCTAAAGATTGTCTGTCTCTGTCTTGTGTGTGTGTGTGCGCGCGTGCATGTGTGTGTGATTAAATGTCGGAAAGGGTTCTGTGGGCATGCGTTGACTTAGGGGATCGAGTGAGGTTGTGCTCTCTTGTGAGCTCTTCCTGGGAAGTCTCCTGTTTGAGTAGCTATTCCTGGCTGGCGTTAAATGGGACATCTGAGTGGAAGGTGGCAGCCATTCAAAGGCATGTCTCCTTGGGACCAACTGTTTGTCCCTCGCCATGAAAGTTCAGCTCTTGAAGAAAGAGCAGTCTGTTATCTTATCCCTAAAATACAGAAGAAGAGTATCTGCTAAGTCATGATATGACGTTATTGAAAGATATGCTAAGCAAACATTTTAGAGTTTAGGGGAAAACAACATGAATCTCTGAATGAAAAAATGTATTGTTCATATTGAGTATTTTTTTAATATTTATTTTTATTTGTGTGTCTGTCTGTCTGTCTGTCTGAGTATATGTGTACATAGAAGCCTCAAGAGGATATTTGATTCCTACAAAATCAAAGGTGTTTGTGGGACAGCTGGCTTGTTAAGAGGGTTCTGAGATCTGACTTCCTGTCCTTATGATTGCACAAGTCTTACCCACTAGACATTACTCCAGCCCTGTGTTTTTATTGTGTGAAAACAATACTCAAGCTTTAAACAAGAAAAGTATGCTAAAAGATTAATCATGGGCATAAGGGTAAGATAGGTTATGGATTTTTTAAAATTAATTTTCTAGGAAATCTATAGTGAACGTACATCTTTCAATGCTTATTTTAAATAGTCCATTTTTTTTTCTAGCCTTCCTGGTCAAGTGAAGCGTGTTGTTCACCAGGCCTTCTGGGATGTCGTGAAAGCAGATCTCAATGCTGAGCCTCCCCAGTATGAATATGCCATCAGACTGTTTGAAGAAATCAGAGAGGCAAGTTGATGTGGTCCCATTAATGCCTTAACCCACTGGGGTCGGCGTGATGGAGACTGTGGATGGATGGCTTATAAACAGTAGAGATTCTTCACAGGCTAGAGGCTGGGAAGTCTGGGACCAAGGCACTTCACTTGCTGCCTGGTGAAGGCCCATTTCATAGGAGAATCCTTCTTTCTTTATCCTCACATGGCAGAAGGGGACAAAGGAGTCCTTTAGGGTCCCTTCCATGAAGGCATCAATCCCATTCGTGAGGACTACACATTCATGACCTAATTACCTGTCAGGATTGGGTTTCAGTGTATGAATAGGGATGGGGTGCTGATACACTGTATGTATATGATGGGGGTGCTAATACACTGTAGCGGTTGGTTTCCTCTCCCCAAGACTGCTTGGCATCTTTGTATCACCCCTCACTTTGAAGGACTAAGTGCTGTTGGGGGCCAGGCGATTCTTTCATAACTTCTTATAGTTGGGTGGAATCCAGGGAAATAGTCGCAGACAGCTCAGGACCGATCTTTGAACACACAACAAGACCGTGGAGTTAGACGTGGGTTAGTAGTGGGCTCACCCTCTGAAATGTCAGCCTCTTGAGTGTTTGCGGTGTAGTTCCAGGAACTAAATGGGATGATGGCAGTTCTTCCCGGTGGCATGCACAAGTTTGCCATGCACTGCAGTATTATTTTATGTACACAGTCCTCTTGCCCACCCAGGTGCACACAGCTTTGAGGGCAGAGGGACCTGAATCGAGACTGTCAGGCTCAGAGCTTTTGCTCCCCAGCCATCACAGTGCTTGGGAACATGGAGCCCACCACGCCACGAGCCCTCAGTTAACCATTTGTGTGCAAAGAATTCTTCATGGATGTCACAGGGGTTTTTCATCTACTCTTGAGTGTTTTTGGAGCCATGATATGCAACCTGTTCTTCCTTCCCCTCGTTGGAGGCTTTTTGAAATGTTCAGGTTCTGATTCTTGTCATCTGTTTTCATCCTGAAGTGTCAGTCATTCACCACAGTGGTGGCCTGTGATTCAGCAGAGCGCTTTCTTCTCAAGGTTGAGACACTGAGTGTCCCTGATAAATTTCCTAGGCCCCATCTGCAGGGACATTGTGGTGTGAACGGAAGGATTTGCACATTCGTCTCTAACAGTGCTGCTGACCCTTCTCTCCGGTGCAGATTCTCCTCTCTTTTCTCGCTCCTGGTGCAAACAGCCTTCACAACCAGATTTGCGAGGTGCTGGACGTTGACCTCATTAGACAGCAGGCTGAGCACAATGCTGTTGACATTCAAGGTTTGGCCAACTATGTCATCAACACCATGGGAAAGATGTGTGCTCCTGTGAGAGATGAAGATATCAGAGAGTTGAAGGCTACTACCGACATCGTGGAGATGCTGAGGTTAGCCCTTCTACTGTACACATTTTCCTACACCCTCTTCACATTCTTTCAGAAGAGACCTGGGAACATGGACAGACTAGATCACCAGCCTTCCAAGGGCATTTGTGACACTGGAGAAGGGTGGGTGAGGGGAACGGGACAGACAGGGAGCTGGCCAATCCTTGACAGAGTGTGTAAAATTTTCTAGCAAGGTTCTTAGTCTGCCTTGAGTGGGCCCTGAGGATACAGTAATAAAAACAGAAGAGAGAAACAGACCTTGAACCATGCAGTGCTGGTTGCTCTTGGTGCTGTTGAAGGAGGGTAGAGGGCTGCAGAGCTTCCAGCAGGGGCTCTGTGCAGTCAGGGCTAGAGGAAGCCGTCAGCTGCTACTGAACTCACAGTGATTTTGTCAATAAACAGTTGTTTTGTATGGTGTCTGACTCGAGGATTATTGGTCAGGCAGCTCTTCACGTCCTTTTGGGGACCCAAGCTCCTCTTGTCCTTGGTTGTTCCTTGCCTACAGCTACAAGTGTCAAGTGACTGTGGTACATCAATCAGTGTGTTAACTCAGCACCAACGGGGCATATACCCTTGACTTTGATTAGCCACACAGTCTCACCAGATTGGAGATGTTGCCATAGCCTCAAATCTGCCAGACATTGGTAGTCAGCCATCCAGCTCTTCTACAGCTTCTCCAAGGATGTGAGGTTCACATTAATGTGTGAACATCTTTTCTATCTCTGTAGACAATAGCTTCCTCATATTCCCAAAGGATGTACTGTGAGCCACTATTGCCATTGAGGGGAACTATTTTCTTTTATGAATACAAGTCATACTGAGAAATGAATTTTATGTTAGTTTTAGAAAACAAGGAGATAGAAACTGATCTATATATAGAAAGTAATTTCATTTGTGGCCTGTAACAAGTTGACGGTTTCTCAAGGCGACACTTCACTTACCTGTAAAATGGGCATTATATGTCTTTAGAATTGTCCTGAGTTCTGGAAGATTGTAGAAGCTTTTCTTCTAGTTATAGTGTTATTGGTGTATGATGTCAACTCTCCAGTGTTTATTTTGGTCGTGGGTACCTAGTGGATACCACTTTTCTTTGATCCACTGAGTTTACTTAGAGTTGCTTGCATGAGCATGGCTAACTCTGAGTGGCTACAACCGCTGAAGAGAAATGTCACCCCTTTCCCAGCCACCGTAACTGCTAGTAGCTGCGAGGCAGGGGTGGGACTTTATGGCTACCTCCTTTATCTATGACGAAATATCAAAGGGCCCAGTCTTGTGCCCTTCAGCCACTGTAGAAGGGGACATCTATCTCTAGGTGAGGTTGAGAGCAGCATTAATCTGTGAGTATAAACATAAGTATTTAGAAGGCAGCCTGACAATGTGAGTTTATCCAAACAACAGTAGTCGGTTCCCTCTGTGGCCTATAGCCTCCTAAGTCATAGGGTTTGGTTTAGCTTACCGCGTTAAGTGTGTATTCCTTAAATCCTTAAAATCCTTAAATTCCTTAAATTTGTCATTGGTTACCCTACAAATAGCCATGCCACTGCTGCCCAGAAGGTCCGTATTGTTGTCTACAGCGTCCACACAGCTAGATACAACCACTGATGAGTGTTCTCCCCCAGCAGCCTGGACAGTGCCGTCTGACACCGCTGCAACACAGACACATAGCTCAGAAGCCAAGCTGGGCTCCCCACAGAGAAGACGTGGAGATTGTCCTCCTAGGTCTTAGTCACTTCACTCAGGAGAATGTTCTCCAGTTCCATGCATTTTCTTGTATGTTTCATAGTTCTAGTTTTTAAAATTTGAAAAAAATTCCATAGTATAAATCAGTGTTTCTCAACCTGTGGGTCACACCCCTTTTGGGTGGGTGTCAAATAACCCTTTCACAGGGGTTGTTGTTGTTGTTTTGGTTTTTTGCTTGTTTGTTTTTTTGAGACAGGGTTTCTCAGTAACTATGGAGCCAGACCTCAAACTCACAGAGATCCGCCTGCCTCTGCTCCTGAGTGCACCAACACCACCCAGCCACAGAATTTTTTTTTTCCCTAATTCTGTTGTTAAGACCAACAAAAAACACAGATGTTTCCATTATGATTCTTTGTTTTTGACAATGTTTCTCTGTGTAGCCCTGACTGTCCTGGAACTCACTCTGTAGACTAGGCTGGTCTCGAATTCAGAGATTGTCCAGCCTCTGTCTCCCGAGTGCTGGGATTAAAGATGTGCACCACCACCACACACCTAATTCTTTTTGTTGTTGTTGTTTGTTTGTTTTTTCAAGACAGGGTTTCTTTATAGCTTTGGTGCCTGTCCTGGAAGCCCACCCAATTCTTAACAGTAGCAAAATTATAGTTATGAAGTAGCAAAGAAAATAATTTTAAAGTTGGGGGTCACCTGTACATGAGGAACTCTATTGGAGGGTCAACACATTGGGAAGTTTGAGATCACTCCTATAAGTGGACTATATTTTCATCCACCCGTCGGTGATAGATATCTAGGCTGGTTCCATTTCCTGTGTGTTATGCAAAGACAGTGATGAACACAATTGCTTCCTGAACTTCTGTATTCATTATCTCACTACTGTTCCTAACACACTTCCAAGGGGATGTTCTCTTCTTTTGGTCATGAAACACTAAGGCACAGAGACACTAAGTGCGCTTGATTATAGAGTTGGTCAGCTGAAAAGCTGAACCTGAGCAGGACTGCTCAGCCTGAAGAACAGCTCTTCCCTCACCGCCTCACCGCCTCACCGCCTCACCGCCTCACCCCCTCACCCCCTCACCCCCTCACCCCCTCACCGCCTCACCGCCTCACCGCCCTGGCCTTTTATTTCCTTGGACGTTTCCCTCTTTCCTTGTAGCAGTTCAGGCTCCGTAAAATTGCAGCAGGCTGTGGTGAATGAGCTGGGATCATTACACATGCTGCCACAGTGGGTGATTGTGCAGTGTGTGGAGGAGACATATAGGATCCACATGTATAACCCTCCTTGAAAAATGACCCTGGCGAATGACTGTTGACATTCTCAGCACCGTTTCCAGGAGGGTTATCTTATCCAGCCTGCGACACATGGGTGGTCGTCTGTTTCAATTTCACTTCCTAACCATTTCTCATTTCAATTCTGAAATTTCTAGGCAAATATTCCGTGTCTTGGACCTCATGAGAATGGACATGACGAATTTTGTCATTAGGACAGTTAGACCTCACATCCAGAATCATTTGGTGGAATATGAGAGAAACAAATTCCAGGAAATTTTAGAAGGAACTCCAAGTATGTATAATACATTGTGTGCTCATGTCAAAATTGGGTCAAAATATGATATCGTAACTCTTGCCTGTTTGAGTTGTGTTAATGTTAAAACATGTTTTAAGCCTCTTAAAAGTTGGCATCACAGACTGCTAGTTGTGGTTTGTGTGTATGCTGGAAGCTGTGCCACACATCTTACTTTCCCACCGACGTACTCAGAAAGGTTTACTGAGAATCTGCTGTGCCCTGTTGGGAAGGTGCTATGGTATGACGATAGACAGAGCAGAATGAAGTTGTAGTCTCCAGGGAGCTGATATTCTCCTAGGCATAGCAAACAAGCATAGTCTGTCACATGTATCATTAGGGAGCAGACGGTAGTGAGGGCAGACGGCATTTGTAGAAGGAGGAGGCAAGGCTTCTTTAGTAACCTTTGAGCAGAGTCTGCTGAGAACTATGGGTGGGGCATGCCCAGGTGTAGGGAAAAGGGATTTGCAAGAACAGAGACCCAGAGGCAGAGCTGGCTTTGATGTTTGACTCCTACAAGGCAGATGTGACTGAGGGAAAGTTGGCAAGGGAAGGAGGGATGGGCGATGGGCTGAGAGGGAAAGAAGGCAGATTGGGTCAGATTGAAAGCATTCCAGTTTTAATGAGGAGCCATGGTGAGTCTCCTGCTAGGAAGCAACATGTGATTTTGACTTTTAAAACGTGGTTCCTGCAGGTGAGCAAAGAGGACACGGAGCTCTCAATCGCATGCCCAGTGCTTCTCAGACGAGAATGGCGGGGGCTTGTCCAGATAGTAGAGATAGAGGAAGTGAGGTCGGGCTCTGAGCATGATGTGAGGTGGAGAATGCCTGGTGAAGGCTGGATGAGGAGGCATTGAGGATGACTCAGTAAGACATCTGGATGAAGCACTGGGTTAGTAGTGGGATGGGGAAACTTGGGAAAGAAAAGTGAGTTTTAGGTACATGAAGATATAGTTTGACATTAGTGTAGAGGGTTCGATGTTGAGAACCGTGGATACACAGTGGGGTTCATCAGCATATAATATATATATATATATATTATACTATATACAGCTATAAAAGTAGATAATTGGGAAAGGGACTTAGCACATTCTAACCAATTTTCTTATTATAGTAATATTACAAGTATATGAATTTTCTTATAGTAATATTACAAGTATATGAAGTTGCCTCCCACTTTGTAAATGAAGAAATTGAAGCACAGAGAGGTTAAATCATTTGCTTCTGTAACACAGCTTATAAAGTATGGAACTGGACTCACCCAGAAGGACTCACAAGTCCGTGCACTTATCTTTTTACATGGGATAAGATGGCTTACATGGGATTACATGGGAGTAAGCGTGGCTGCCGAGGGGTCTGGCCTGGGATAGTTTAGCACCTAGAGGTGATGTAAGGAGGATCAACAATGGAGAATATGGGAATAGCGTCGTATGCCAGCCAGGAATGCATCCTACAGTGTAACAGGGGAGGCTGAGTGGATGCTACAGGACCTTTGAACTAGTCGAGAGAGATGAAGGCTGAGACTTGACTCCTGGATCTGACTAGTGAGGATTATTGATAACTTTGATGGGTTTGTGACTGGAGAGGGGGCAGAGAACAATTGAGTAGCTACTACCTCCATCAACCAAGTGCCCAGTGAGCAGGTCCTGTCACCCTTTACTCTTCCAGTGGAGAGCTGGAAGTGCCATGGCAGCCAGCAGGTGGCTCTAGTGATGGGGATTTTATTACTGTGATCTAAAGCTGTTGGGTAGCCTAGCTTCCCTCTGGTCCACCCCTACAGCCTAAACTTCTCCATCACAATGATAGCACATAGCATTATGTAAACAGGGCACAGCGGATGCTGATTTTAAATGGGCCTTTACACACTGGAGCACATCCAGGGAGCACATAGATCATGGGAGCCACTTGAGGAATGGTCATAAATGTAGGCATGCTCTGCTTGGTAACGAGCTCATAATTACCATATTCCCCTTTGATAGCAACTTAGAGACCTTTTTAAGGTCTGTAGGGCAAATCAAAACCTTTACAAGGCAGCTGGGTGATGGTGGCACGTGCTTTTAATCCCAGCACTTGGGAGGCAGAGGCAGGGGGATCTCTGGGTTTGAGGCCAGCCTGGTCTACAGAGCAAGTTCTAGGTCAGCCAGGACTACACAGAGAAACCCTGTCCCCCCAAAAAACAAAACAAAAAAGAAAAAAAATGGCATGTGTTCTCAGGCAGAAAACATCTGGGTATCCACTTGGAACCTTGCTTGTCCTGGAACAAGATCGTGACTCTCAGTGGGGCACATTGCAGAGGGTTCTATGCATCAGGTGGTGGATGGGACTAGATAATCACTATAGACTCTTTAATAATAAAAGTTCTGTGATTTCAAGGACTCTATTTTAGCTCCAATGGGAAAGGGATTGGGGGAAAAGTTCTTCAGTCTGAAGCCTGAACTTGACTGTGTTCTCAGCATCAGCCTCCTGAGACTCAGAAGTAGGATCCTGTGTACCCGTGTGTGTGAACATACTTGTTCAGATGCAGTCGTGCCTTCAATTCGGACAGCTGCAATCTTAGACAAATTCCTTAATAGTTGAATCTAACTTTATTTATCTGAAATTATTTGCTTCTTAAAATTTAGGTGACTTATTTTTCACCTCAGGTTGACTTGGCTCTTTCCCACCGATTTAAGAATAGAGCAAAGCCAGCTATGCTTTGAGTTCATATTTGCTCAGCTAGAAAAATCAAGAATGCAGGAAGCCGAGTATATGTCAGCTGTTAATTATATCCCAAGTCACTCTGCCAAAACCTGGTCTCTGCCCTAATATCAAAATAAGAGTCTCACAAAAAAAAAAAAAAACAAGAAAACCAAACCACTAGGAACTGGGCGTTGATGGCATACACATTTAATTCTCGCACTCAGGAGGCAGAGGCAGGACTTCTGTGATCTACAGAGAGAGTTCCAGGACAGTCAGGGTTACACAGATAAACCCTGTCTTGAAAAACAAAATAAAACACAAAACCAAAAAAGATTCTCGCATGCAGTATTAACATAGGACACAAGTCTTACTGGAGTATACATATGATTTGTGTATGTATTACATGTGCATATACATGTGCACATGCCTTAGCAGAGACATGATGGTTAGAGGAAAACTTGCAGGATTCAGTTCTCTCCTTCTACCATGTGGATCCCAGGGATGGAACTTCCGTCATAAGGCTTGCAGTAGATGACTTTACCTGCTGTATGCTATTTTTATGTATTTATGACTGCTTTGTATCTTAGGATATGGCACAACCATTCATTCGGTGGCCCTAGATAGGGTATGGGAGTAATCCTATAAGCCTTTCAAACTTTTTGCATTTAAGTGGTCCTCAAGACCCATGGACACTACCCCTAAAAATAGTATTTCTGCTTTCCCATGATCCCTGTCTATTTCCAGTGCCCATGTCCATCCATGCCCTTGACTGGACTCCAGCAGTCTGCTGTCCTCGCGTTTACGCGGCCTTCCTCTCAGTGATCTTCTAACACATCTGTCTGATTACATCAGTTCCCTGTTGAAGGAGTTATACAGAGAGCCCTCATTCCCATAGTCACGTTTGTAACCTGAATCTAAGAATGAAAATTGTTCAGGAATATGGGAACATAATCATGCACGCGGATCTTGGCAAAAATACAGCTCTAATCACTCAAATAGGTTTAGCACCCTGGAGGAGTTAATGCATTGAGTCCAAACTCAAGGTCGTCTGTGAGCAAGTGGGGCAAGCTGGTTTCCAGCTGCCAAAGCAGTGCCATTAGGAATTGTTCTTTCTACTCTAGCTCCGTAAGGCCCAGCAATACATATGTGATGTGCCATATGCTGCCTTTGGAAGGTCTTTGTGTGGGTGTTTGTTCTCCTTCCTAGCATGCCAGGTAGCCTTTGCTTCTCTCTGCCATGGGGTGTTGTCACTGGGCAGGTCTTTCTCATGAGCATCCTTGAATAACCCCTGTTCTCTCCTACTCCTCTCGCATTCACTGTTAGAAGCAGTGGTTACTTATAGGTCTGTCTCTCCATATGGACTTAGGGGCCTGGCTGTATATTTTCATTCATGCCTGGGACCTGTGTGACCCTGTCATGTGGAATATGTAAGCAAAAGGACTGATCTGCTAAAGAATAACCTTTTTATTATTTTATTTTTGCCCTTAGATGCCCTCAGTCAAACTACGGAATGGCTGAAAGAGTCTATAGATGAAGAATTCCTTTCTGAGACTGCCGTGACTCCTGGAACTGAACAGAGTCCCCCGCCAAGCCTAAGTCCTCTGTTGGTGCTAAATAATTGTTACTTGAAACTACTTCAGTGGGATTACCAGACGAAGGTCTTGCCAGAGGTGAGTGGCTCGCTCCTGCACAGGTATCGGGTGTTCAGTCCCTGAGTTGTGGCTCTGAATCAGAGAGCCCGTCTGTGTCGCACATGGCGTGAACTAAAGTCAGACAAAAATGAGGACGTAGACACGATGCTGCGTATTTCACACTTTCATGGCATTGTGCTTCCCTCTCTGTTCTCACACGTTAAATATGCTAGACACTCGTGACAGATGGAACGCGACTTCAGGAACTGACAGAAAAGCTGAATCAACTGAAAATGATTGCCTGCTTGTCCCTAATTACCAACAACATGGTGGGTGCTGTTACAGAAGGCCTGCCCGAGCTTGCCAACAGGTTGAAAAGGATTTCAGCTGTTCTACTCGAAGGCATGAATAAAGAGTAAGTTCTTTATGTGTGTGTCTGTTCCCTCACACAGAAAGGCTCCACACGTATCTCCCCAAGCAGGCAATAACCTTGGTCATGAGGATGCAGCAGGCCCTGCTGGCTTCCAAGCTTCTCAGAAGTTCTAGGTGTGCTTTCCCAGGAAGGCAGACCATGTTCCACACGTGCCAGGATAAGTGTCGTGTTCCTCTTCCAGTCACAAGTGCACAAGTGCACAAGTGCGTGTGTCTGCAACCCTGGGGGCTGTACAGGCGAACAGAGAAATGGGTTCTGGGTGCTTGCTGGCCAGCCAGCCTCCAGACTAGCTAGCTCCAGGTGAAGTGAGAGACCCTGTCTCCGAAAGTAAAGTGGAGAGCCATGGAGGGAGACACCTGAAGTTGACCTCTGGCCTTGACATGAGCACACGTGACAGAGTATACTCTCCCACTCCACATGTACATAAGAAGGATAATAATAATTTTTTTCTACTTTGGAACTGTGAAAATAAAAGGACATTCCTATGAGAGTCTTTGCCTAGGTATCTGGCACACAGCATATACTCAGTGAATGTTAGTTATTTATAACTGCTTAGGTGTTCAGTCGTCCTCCTTATGGCTTTATTTCTGCTCACCGGTTGTTTCATATATTAGAAACATTCCTTTATAGGAAATGAACACGTTCACTGCTCATGTACTCACCTTATAGATGGAGTAACAGCATCTGTAATATAAAACAAGTAGATGACCTCACGTTACAGCTAGGCCCAGATGTCATTTGCATATGGTTTGGTGATATGTCACAAAATGGGCAAGGTTTTGCTTTTATTGTGAATAAGAAGTGACTTACATTAAAATTTAATTTTTCCTTTATAAGAACTTAGTGACTAGGGGCTGGAGAGATGGCTCAGAAGTTAAGAGCATTGCCTGCTCTTCCGAAGGTCCTGAGTTCAATTCCCAGCAACCACATGGTGGCTCACAACCGTCTGTAATGGGGTCTCCTCTTCTGGCGATGCAGGCATGCACACAGACAGAATATTGCATACATAATAAATAAATATTAAAAAAGAACTTAGTGACTAAAAGCAGGAGAAAGCTACAGCACTGCCCTATAGTGTTCTAAACATCAGAAGGAAAAGATTCTACCCAAACAACCTGCCCTTGGCTTACAGAGCCCGGAGGGTCGGCAGCAGATCCAGCTAAGGCGGAGCAGTGGTGGTAACACCCGCTTTCATGCTTGTCTCACTCAGCGCCTCTGTTCACTTGCCTTTCTGCTCAGGGCCAAGTCCCGTGGAAGAGCCTGGTTTGAACCACAGTCTTTACCACATCAGACTTAAGGCCTAATTCAGTCCACTATGCTACCTCCTATCACCAGGCCGCCTCTCATTCTTTAGTTCATAGTTTTCACAGATAAGAACCCTTTCCATATAATGAGATATCATTTTCAATTATTCTTTAGTAGTGCAGATCTAAAAACACCCTTACTAATTCCTTCTTTCCTTCTTGATTAAATAACCTCCTTAATTACTGTTTAATGTCTAGACTGTGTATTTGGGATTGTTAGTTACTAACTGCCTTTGGTCATGATCAATCTAGAATGTCAGTTAATTTGGCCTCTCAATATCTCTGATTTTGACTAGTGTTATAGATTTTCTGCTATAGTTGCAGAAAAATTATGTTTCTCTACTCAACTTTATAAGCTCTTTAAAAATATCTGTGAGATGGTTAAAAGCACTTGGCTTCTCTTTTAGATGACTTGGGTTTAGCATCGACATGGAAGCTTACAACTGTCTGCAACTCCAGTTCCAGAGGCTCTGATGACCTCTGCTGGCCTCCACACGCACTAGGCACACATATGGTGCACATATGTGTACATAGGTGAAACACTCACATATGTAAGATAAGTCTTTCAAAATGTGAACTAATGAGTCCACTCCTACCAGTGGCTTTAAGAAGCAAATGGATATTTTCTGTCCCCTTGGCTAACCCTGTGGAAACGGGTTTTACAAGCACCTTTGCTTTCCTGTCAGACACGGTGCACAGGTGCATGGTTCTCAGACTTGATGTACAGTGTGAGAGCACCGGTGGCTGGGAGAGGCGCTGCTGTCTGTCCGTTCTAACAAAGCAGCTTCTGTCGCTGTGAGAGAGAATTGGCGAGCACCTGCAGCAGCGCATTTGAAAACAAAACGAAAAGATGCCTGAAGACCTGACCTGATGCTCTTCGTTCTGTGTTTTCTAGGACCTTTAACTTGAAGGAAGCCCTGGATTCTATTGGTGCTCAGACTTGTGCTGAAGTTAATAAGGCCCTGGAAGAGAGAGGCTCACCCACTTTAAATGCTGAGGTTCAAGCTAATCTCATTGGTCAATTTTCGAGCCTCGAAAAGAAGGACAATCCTGTCTGCACCTTGATGGGTGAGTCCTCTTTATTTTTAAGCCAGTTTCTGCTTCGGTTTGAATCTGCTTTAACTTGCTGCACCGGACGAGGTTTAAGTGTCTAGTCATATATTCGTATTACTACATTATTACATATTAGTACACAGTACTAAACACAGTTCATCATTGAAAGCAGCAAGGGTGGGAACTCACACAGGGCAGAAACCCAGAGGCAGGGGCTGATGCGGAGGCCGTGGAGGAGTGCTCTTACTGGTTTGCTTACCTGGCTTGCTCAACTTGCATATTTTTAGACCTCAGGACCACTAGCACAGGGGTGGCCCCACCCACAACAGTCTAGGCCCTCTTTCATTGATCACTAATTAAGAAAATGCTCAGCAGGCTTGCCTCCAGCCTGATTTTTAGAAGCATTTCCTCAATTGAGGCTCCCTCCTTTCTGATAACTTTACTAAGCTGACATAAACTAGTCAACATAGATACTTAGCTATAAATATATAAAGTATAAAGAAAAATTGATGTTTTCATAGGCCTTGCTTCTCTGTTCAGAGCCTATCATAACTACCCAGCCAGTGGCCTTTATGTAGACAGCATGGTGATGTGGACATCCTGGGAGAATGTGCGGCTCAAACCTGCTCTTGGCACGTTCACAGAGTAAGGCCAATGGTTCTGCTATGAGCAAACCTGAGAGAATTGAGGTCTCCTGAGAGGCATCACAGATGGGCTAACATTGTGTTTGCTGATCAAGCAGACAACTTCTCAGTGTCAGGCTGGGCTGGAGAGTTGGCAGTATGGAGCATGTACCAGGACTCCTGCAGCTGAGAGGGTCAGGGATGGGGCTGGCTGCTTTGGTTTTCTGCTCCATCGCTCCATTCTCAGCACTGCCCCTGTGTACTGGATGCCTATAGGCTAAGGTGGCTTACTCTGCCATCATCCTTCCATGGTGAAGCATAGACAGAGACTGCACTTTTGTGTCCCAGCCGCCCAGACCCAAATAATCACACAGAAACTATATCAATTCCAACACTGTTTGGTCTATAGTTCATGCATATTTCTAACTAGCTCTTATAACCATTATATCTTATATCTATTAATCTGTGTATCACCATGAGGCTGTGGCCTATTGGTCAAGTTCCGGCGTCCTTCTCCTTCGGCAAATACATGACATCTCCTTGACTCTGCCCTCTCTCTATCTTTTCCAGCCTGGCTATATTCTGCCCTTCCATAGGCCAAAGCAGCTTATTTATTAACCAATGGTAATAAAACACATTCACAGCTTGCAGAGGGGAATCCCACATCACCACACAAGAGTTAGAAGTCTTACCCCTCTGTTATCTAACAGTGACCCAGCATGGTGTCCTGTTGGCTGTAAGCAGCCTAACTGTAGATCAGGTTTTGTCTTTGAATTGGTCTTGGTGATGAGAGGCAAAGGAACTTGAAATGTGTGCTCACTTTTGGGACAGCCTGCTGAACTCGAGCATCAGTGAGTAGGGGAGATAATTTCTGTTCCCTTACACAAGCAGGGTGTCACCATAAAGAGGACAAAGGCAGGTGTTTATAAAATGTGTTCAGTTATGCAGCTGCTGAAAACATAACACAGAAGAAGGAAGAGAGTATATCCCAGGATTAACCTGTACTTGCTTTCCAAGTACAATGTTGGGCCCTAACAGTGTGACATTTTATTACGGATTCAGGGGCTCTGCAATAATTTTTCTTACTCTTATTCCTGGGAACATAGGCTACCAGAAGTTCAGGCTGCAAAGGCTACTTAGGTGGTCCAAGGCTTCACCTTGATCCCAGAAAGGACCAGTGCCAGGTTACAGCACTGTGGGTGGCAGCAGAGGCTGCTACCAGGACGGGACAGTTGATGGTGGTAACCGGCACAGCCGCCTGTCACAGCTGGTGATCTGCCTCTGCCCCCGATCTCCAGAGGAGCAGCTGTGCTCGGAGAGATCGTGCTCCCGGGGAAACAAACACGTGTGGCTGGCTCCCCACTAGCATGCAGACCTTATGAGCACAGGTCTCACTGCCTGCTGCTTCTCTACATGGTACTGAACGTACAGATGGCGCTTAATACCTACTGTAAAGTGCCCATGTCTAAGTAACTAACAGGGTAGAGTTGGGATTCTTACCTTGCCCATCTGGCTGCAGGGTTCATATCCCTAATTGTATCTGGGCAGAGCTGGAGCCCTGAGCTCACAGTATGTCTGTGCCCTGGATATAAAGTGGGAAGTGGGGCGGGGGCAAGAGATGCCTCTTAAAATCTGGTAAAGCAGCTTTGTTTCCCAGCTCTCCCCAGGGTAGCTTTGCCTGTTGTTCTGCACATTGAAGGTATTTAAATCTTATTCAAAGTATCGTTTCCTTAGCTGCTCAAGTGACAATCTTAAGTGCCTCTCTTTTAACTCTGAAAGACAAGAATAGGTCTTTGGCAGGGACTCCGTTTCACTGCTTCAAACTGAACAAATGCTTCTGTATTCTTGGCTTAAAAACATGAATTGTCCAAAGAGGAGGCAGAACTACTTGTTGATATAATAATCATTTTGAAAGGAATTATTTTTGGCTTTCTTGTGACAAAGTGTTTGGATTGTATCTGTGATGAAGTTAGGCCCAGTCTAAGGGAAAGTTCACTGAGTTTTTGCATGATAAGAAACCAGCATAAATTAAATATTTAGATCTTGGCATATAGGAAATGCTCTGCAGTGCTGGCCACGGGCCCTCCCTGTGCGTGGTACTCATGCTCTGCAGTGCTGGCCACAGCCCTCCCTGTGTGTCACGCCCACATTCCACAGTGCTGGCCACGGGTCCTCCCTGTGCGTGGCGCCCATGCTCTGCAGTGCTGACCACGGGCCCTCCCTGTGTGTCACACCCACATTCCGCAGTGCTGGCCACGGGCCTTCTCTGTGTGTCACGCTCACATTCTGCAGTGCTGGCCACGGACCCTCCCCGTGCGTGGCACCCATGCTCTGTAGTACTAGCCATAGGCCCTCCCTGTGCGTGACAACCATGCTCTGCAGTGCTGACCACGGGCCCTCCCTGTGTGTCACGCCCACATTCTGCAGTGCTGGCCACGGGCCCTCCCTGTGCGTGGCACCCATGCTCTGCCACCCTGTGTTTCAGTTGATGTGAGTCTGTTTGCCAAGGACATTACACCTCTCACTATGCCATAACCCTTTGAAAAGGTAGTTAGAAATGGAATTTTCTCTCAAATCGAAACTTTCCCCAACATATAAAAAAAGGTAAATATTATCTATGGATTACATGTATATATGCATGCCCATAGTCATTTACTTTTCTGAGAGTTGATTTTTTTTTCAAATGCCTAAGTGATACATGAATAATTTCTCCTTGTTGGAATATACAGGTGAGAATTATTTTGTCTCTGCTTGCCTTCTCCAGGCTTCAATTGTTTTCAGTTTGGTATTTATAAACTGTTTTCATCCCATTTTAATTCAGCTAGGATTTGTCAGGCAGGAATATAATATGTCAGGCAGGAGGGGAAGCCTCTACTTCCCCATATCTTCAAAGAGCTCACTCCTTAAGATAGGAGGAAGACAGACACACTGGTGTGACCTGGTGGAAGTCTGCGACAGATGGTCAGAGAGAACACAGAAGTTACTTTCGATCCAGCATTGAAGGAGATCTGGGTGAGAGGGAACGGGCGGGACAGGAGTTTTCTAAGACGTGGATGTTGGAAATTTTCAGGTTCCAGGGTCAGTTTGGGCTAAAGTATAATTTGTGGGAAACAGTGTTTGAAAGTAAGAGTTTGGATTAATGTCAAAAGCCAGGCATATTGACTCATACCTGTAAATCCCACCACTTGGAATGTGGCAGCCAGAGGATCCATAGTTCAGACACATAGTATGTTTGAGGCCACCCCAGGCTTTATGACCTGTCTCCAAAGGTGGAAAAAAGTCTGATTTCATGTTGTAACTGCCTGTCCTCAATGGGCGGTGTTATTAGCAAACATTCTTAGGTGTGAGGGTTTGATTTCCAAAGCTGGAGAGAGTCCTTGGGGCTGCACATTGGTGGTCGATCTGGTCCGTATTACTGTCTGATGTGACTGTAGCCAAATCTCTGCCTGCATTTGCCTGCATTTGTATCTGGTGGTCACCGAGAGAGGCAAGGAAGGTGACTAATGCAGTGCTGTGGAGCAGCCTTCCACAGCCTCCTGGGCAGAGGGCAGGGTAATAAGTACTAGGCCAGGGTGCTTTGCACAGCACCGTTTGAACTATACCGGAGCAATAGGCATGGGCTTTGTTGTCTCTGGGAAACCTAGGTGTGTGGATCAACTTCCTCTGTGTTGTGTTGAAATCCCAGGTATGCTCAGTTTCTAGATTTTTTTCTTATAGAACCAAAAATTTGAATTTCAGAGTGAAATCCCTTATTTTAAAATGCTTCTATAAAAACAAAACAAAGCCCCAAACACATATTATGCTTTCTGAGTTGATAGTGCCAGCTTCAGTTATGGTGGTGGATGTTGGTCATTGACTTTCGTAAAAAAAAAAAAAAAAAAAAATTCTACCACAGAGTCAGGCAGTGGTGGCTTATACCTTTAATCCCAGCACTTGGGAGGCAGAGGCCAGCCTGGTCTACAGTGTGAATTCCAGGACAGGCTCCAAAGCTACAGAGAAACCCTGTCTAGAAAAACCAAGAAAAAAAATTCTACCTCACAAAAGCACTTACTTTTTTTTTTTGATCAACCATTTCTCGCTATATATAGGTCATCCCAAAACTCTGTAGACTGAGTTTTATTTACTTATTTCTCACAAGACTGTAGGTCAACTGAGTAGTTCTTTGGCTTTGTCCAACTCATTCATGTTTCTGTGGCTTAAGTTGGTAGCACTGTTGATCTCGGCTGGACTCTTATGAGAAGCTTGAGAAGTGGCTCCTCTAGAATGCTCTCCCATAGATCTGGGAGAGTTGGCTTTCTCTCTTCCAGTCTTGCCCAGCAGTTTCAGCCTTACTCACATGGCTGATGGTAGGCAGAGTGGAATCAGTCATGCATCTTGTGGCTTAGGCATGCATCTGGCATCCTGGCATTTCTATAACATTGTGCATTTGCGAAAACGGGTGACAAAGCCAGTTCAGACAGAGGAATGAAGAAATACTCTGCATCCTTAATGGAGGAACTGTCGTACCACTTGAGTACAGGCAGGGGTAAATGGGAGTCTTACTGTTATTATTAAAGGTTATGTGCTTTAATAATGGAACAGGTAAAGATACCATTTTTCCTTTAGATAAACGGATCCAGGTGTACATGAAAAGCCTGCTCTGCCTTTCAAGCGCTCATAAAAGCCTGCCTCCTGTGCCACTGGGCCTTGATGTCATTCAGCAGGAGCTGGAAGTGCTTGGCTGTCAATACACAAATATCGTGAATCTCAACAAACAGGTGTATGGACCAATTTATGCAAATATATTCCGAAAGCTGCTCTTGAGAGATGAAGCTGTGGGGAAGACGGCTTCACTCCCAACCAAGTGATGTGAAGCTGGTGCTGGAGAAGAGATGGAAGAGCACTTGGCACACTGTCCTCACTCATTTCTACCAGCGGCACTCACTCAGTGCTGTCCCCAGAGCAGTGTTGGACGGAACCTGTGTAGTCTGGTAATGTCGGCATCGTGGAAGGGCCACATATCCATAGACTCTTTTGTGTATCATTTCCAAGTTAAGGCAGACAGGTTTAATGAAGAAAAGTAATTTGTAATGACTTATATCACCTATATAATACTGGCGTTTTCTTATACATTTATACTGAGTATTTCTATGTGGCTCGTTCATCCAACCTAAAAGGAGTTGTTTTTGTTTATATACTTGATTATACTGCAGTTGCCTGCAGAAATACAATGTGCAAACATTTAAAAAATACATTGAAAATGAAGGGCATTCTGCTTTATTTTTTTCTGTTAAGTGGCAAAATAAATTTGTGTCTCGAGTCTGGATTTAACCAAGTCCATTTATTAGGATTTTAATCATAGCTCCTGGTGTGTTTATCTAGTTTTCACTTAAATGTTCGTTTCTACTTTTGAGGCTTTCGTAACGTGGATGTTCTTAATAAAACTTTATTAAGCAGCTGACATGTTCCTCTTTCCATTCTTTTACTGCTGAAACATGTATTGCTCATGCTAATTATATCTTAAAATGCTAAAAATGATTTCAGGACAATCAGTGCCTGTTTTCTAACTTCCCTTGGGCTCTCAGAATGGAATACTGAGCATTTGTTTCTTTTTCTTGCTTTTTTTTTTTGCTGTTGTTGTTTGTTTTTAGACAGAGTGTCACTCTGTAGCCCTGGCTGGCCTGAAATTTGATATGTATACCAGACTGGCTTTGGATTTACAGGTCTGGGATTAAAGCTGCCTTGGGCTCTTTCATTAGCTCTGCCAGGCTGTGCTGCTCCTCAGAGCCTTCCACCCATGACTTCACTCTATTCACTCAGTTAACAAGCTCCTCAGGAGCATCCACTGGTACCAAGAACACACAACTCACTTCAGCAGTAGAAATAATAAAATCAAACCATAGATTAGCATGGACCCTACCCAAGGAGGATGTGAAAATTCCTGAGATAGCCTACACTTTCAAAGCAACATAGGCCAGATTTAGAAAGTCCCATATCGTCCCCTCTCACGCAGTGTCTACAGTGAAGATACGAAAGGAGGGCGATTTAATGAATTAGAGGAAGGGAACAGAGGGAGGTGGGTGTGGAAAATGACGGCATAATGGGAACATGTGATCAAAGTATATTATATACATGGAAAATGTTATAATGAGTCAGGTGTGGTGGTTCAAGCTGTATAGTACCAGCAGGCCAGGCAGAAGGTCCCAAAGTCAAAGCTAGCCTATGCTATAGAAACTGCCTTAAATGTCATAATGAAACCATTATTTAGTATAATTAATATATATTAAAAAACTAATTTTGAGTTTTTGTTTTGTTTTTTTCTGAGACAAGTTTCTCTGTGTAGCCCTGGCTATTCTGGAACTGCCTCTGTAGACCAGGCTGGCCTCAAACTCAAGAGATCTACCTGCTTCTGCCTCCTGAATGCTAAGATCAAAGGCATTTGCCACCAACACTCAGCTAAATAATAAATTTTTGAACACTCCAATGAGAAAGTTGTGAAAAATTAGTAAGGGCTATAAAGTAAATGTGATTCATGCTAGTAAAGATTGCTGACCTCTCCTGTGGGGAGGATAATTCTTAGACTAACGCCTAAAGGACACAGAGGATTAATGGCCCAGGAACCAACAGCATTGGAGTGGACACAGTAGGCTCTGGCTGAGCAGTGAGTGCTGTGGTTAAGAGATGCAATGACAGAAAACAACAGATAAGAATGAAGCAGTGGAAGCAAAACAAAGGTAAAACGTTTCTTGGGTGTCATGGTCAAATTTCCTTTTCCCTTTTTGTCCTGAAGGGGATAAAAATAATCGCTGAATGTTTGCAATGGGAGAAGGCCACACACAAGATAGCTCTTGCAGCAAAAATTCCTGTTGGTGGTGATACCAGTCTTGTGTGTGTGGTGTGTGTATGCACATACTCGCAGAAACACGTGTTATAAACAGTAAAAACATCTAAAAACAAGTGGTGAAAGAACTGGATGGATATTGAGTTCCTTACAGAACCAGCTTGGTTTGAAGAGTCAGTCTTGGAAAACAGATGGGGACTAAGTGTGGATCGCCAGGTATCCAGCCACACTCATAAAGCTGCTGCTGCTTGGCCTCTCTGAAGTCCCTGATTCCAACACTCACCCCTCTGTGGTACGGGTGAAACAAGGGAGTGGGTGACTCCTATTCCTGGGCCCCCACTACATTTATGGTCTTGTTCGAACATTCTCCACTCACTGTTCTGCAAGAAGTAGAATGGGACCGAGAGCACAAGATCCAAATTTGAATCCACCCCTGCAATTCCATAGCTATGTAAGTTCGAGCCATGCTTTAATCTTCATGAACCAGCTACTTACTCTCTTTCCTTCAGACTAATTGTCTCCCTCACAGGATGCGGCTCAAATTGTCTGCCAACTGTACCATAATGTAGCCACCTTACACTACTTGCATCTGTAATTGATGAGGTCCTAAATCTCTTTCAAGCTTCACGGGCTTTTAGTGTCTTGAGAAATGATTGCTAAGTGTTTTAACTACATAGGAACAAAATTTGTCATTTCTCATCAGAACCATGATCATTAGGCCCAATATTGTCATTGGCAGAAAAACTCAAGGGTACAGAGAAGGCTGGAGAGGTTGTCCTTGATGTCAACTTCAAAGGCTAGTGACAAAACACACATTATTGATTCATTTAGCAATCACTGAGTTTGTCCTGTGAGTTTTAACCTTTCAAAAAACTTATATCATTAAAATAATAATCTTTGTACTGTCTCCTCTGCTCCTTCTGCAAGGAAGCCCTGTTGTCATTTCTAAGCTTACAATGTAAGCCTCTTTAACACTTAAGGGACAGGAACAGAGGGGCTGACTGTATAGGCTTATGAAGAATACCTGGGACTGTCTCAGCAGCCACTCTTGCAGGTGTGCTGGGACAGGATACAGTTTTTGGTCTTTCAGAATATGATAAAATAGTAACAACTGGGTACTTACCATTTGGCAGGGGCTATCTCCCATGAGCACTTTCTGTAAGTTGGGTAACTAACTGCACAGCACACTGTGGGGCAGACTCTCATTTTCATACATGCAACAGCCCATAAATTTACCCAAGGTCACAGAGCTGCTGAGGAAATCAGAATCCACATAGAGTCTCCCTCAATGTGTGCTGTTAGCTCCTGGCCATATTGGCTCCTTGATTCACCCAACAACAAGCATTTTTCACTGTTGTGAATGCTGACTCCACGTTTACCTCTCCACTGTTGCTGTCCTCACAACTGACTGTTCTTGGTGTCCTGAGAGAGTGGGACTGAATTTGTCCGCCTCTCCCCCCAGTAGGGAACACCTCCGGGGCTGGGTAAGGCTCTGGTGGTAAGCTAGTTTCAACCTCTCCCTCATGTGCAGCTTAGAAGGCTGTTTTTGTAAGGAACCTGGTCTTTTGGGTGGGGGAGAGTGATGTCCTATACCACAAACCAAGGCTTTTCAGAGGGGACTGTGAGCATGGGGGTAAGCAATGACTTTTGCACTGCTCAGTCTTGCTCTCAGGAGGCAGCAACTTCTGCCCACCCTCTTTCCCCTCACTGGTGAAATGACAGGCAAGGACTAGCCCTCTGTCTTTCCTTTCTCCAGAACTGCTTATTTGAGATTGTATTCACGCACCAAACAGCACTAGAGGTATTTCCTGCAGCTGAAATGCACTGATAGGATATACTCCGGTGTGTTCTGCTAAAGCCTCAGAAAACAGATCTAAGTTCTGTAACAGGACACAGAGGCCAGGAATGGCCCAGCTCTGCTGGCTCTTTCTAGACTCACCAACCAGACTTGTCCTTGGCAAGCCCTGCCTGAGCACCACACTCAATGCCAGACATAGAGAAATATACTCTTACTGCACCCTACCTGTTGGCTCTGTGTTGAAATGTCTTCTGCCTCCCCATGCCTTTGCTGTGATGCCATGGCTGAATGATTAAAAGCATTAGGTGTCAAAGAAACCTGAATTTGAGACCTCATAAGAAGCATGGGTCCTGGAGTAAGATAATTATGGATTTAAATTCCAACTACAATTGAGCAAATTTCTTAATCACTGTCTTAGCTTGTCGAGTAGAGATCTCATACTCACCACCGAGGGTGAATCATTAGAGAATCTACTTAAGGAGGGTATTCAAATACCTGTTAAGGAGCAATGTTCAAATGAAGGGACATTCTTCCTGGTTTCCCAGGATCCCAAATACCTCTCCCATTACTAATGCCCCTTAATCAGCCATTCCTGCCCCATAGCATTGGCCAGCAGCTCATCTGGCTACCACACAGCTCATTCACGTTATATAATGGGTAGGGCATCATTGCAAGATGCAAATGCTTGTCCTCTAGGATTCCCCAGGCTTTTATACCAATACCTCAGTAAAAGGGTGTGGTGACATAAAACTGTGGAAGCACAGAACTATCCCTGACTTCCCCCCTTGCTTCAGAAGTCTAGCCCCCCCAGAAAACAGAAGTCCTGGATTTGACCTGGGGTGTACCAGTGTCATGCAAAAAGTCTTACAAGGGATTGTGGTCAAACAGTCAATACCATCGCTGCCGACCAACTGTAGCCAAGAAGGACTGGGGGACCACTTGTGACAAAGTTTTCTCTATTTAAAGAGAAACTTAAAAAAACTCAGTTCACAACTGTCTGTAACTCCAGTTCCAGGAGATCTGGCATCCTCAGACATACACACAGGCAGAACCCCAATGTACATAAAAAATAAATCATTAAAAAAGTCAGGGTGAAAAACAGGAATATAATGTTAAATTTATTATTACCCATTGTTTTATTTTTAAATTACATATTCAACACAAATTTATTAAGGAACAGTGTACCAGAACCTAGAAAGCAAGACAATTCTTGTTTGAGCGTTGGCAGCCTGAAAAACTAGACAAGAACACAGGTTATGGTATTAGGTTACAGTAGCAAAGAGCTTGACAGAGATGCAGGTTACAGCCCCAGCCTGCCCATCAGAAAGCCCTCCAGGTGACTGTCACCTGTGCTACAGTAGGAGAACCATGGTCGGTGGAAATTAAAGACAACGTTGGAGCATCGACACAGCTGAGTGGAACTTGGCACCCTCTGCCATCTACAAATCACATCCACATTCCCTCCCAGACCATACTCTAAATAGCGTGCTCTCTAGGAACTGATTCACAAAGATCGCTCATGTAGATCTTGTTTCTCTGAGTAAGTTTTAAGAACTTAAGCCGGACACAGGCCTTTAATCCCAGCAGTAGGGAGGCAGAGGTAGGCAGATCTCTGTTAGTTTGAGGTCAGGCTGGTCTCAGAGTGAATTTCAGGACGGCCAGGACTACACAGAGAAACCTTGTCTCGAAAAGCCAAAAAAAGAAAGAAAGAAAGAAAGAAAAGAAAGAAATTTAAGGGTAGAGGTTGATCGTTATTATTTTTAAATCCAGAGTTGGCTTCTCCCCTACCATGTGGGTCCTGGGGATTGAACTCGGGTTGTCA